TGGCTTAAAATGAAGCTACTATAAATGAGGGCCTGCAGTTTTAATCTGACTTTATTTTAGTTACTTTAAATTTAAAATTAGCCACATGTCTACTAGTTACCACACGTAAATAGAAACAGAAGTTCTACAGGTTCCTCGTAAATTCCCAAGCCATGCCTGGGTTAGGGGGACCAGAAATCCTTTCATTGGCAAGGACCACAAACTCACAACAGAAGAATCACAAATTCAAAATAAGTAAACTCTTAATCTTCTTCTTTCCTCTTTTAAAAATAGTCAAAATTATTTTTTATTTACCTGTTTTTAAAAATAAGAATAGGAAAACAAGACTAACCATTAAATGAAATAATATTCAGCCTTATATTACTCAGAAAAGAGAGGCAAAGAAAAAGACTCAGCAAAACAGTAAATAATTCAGTGAGACTCATACACACACAGAAACAGACACAGAGACAAAGATATACCAGGTATGAGTGAGAAGGGCAGGAGGCATACAGTAAGAAGCAGAACTGGTATGACTGGAGATCCCAAGAGCCTTTGATGATGAGTGCTCACATCATAAATCTACTGAGTATTCATCATTCAATAACTATCTGTTGGCTCATGCTCTGTACAAGGTCCTAGTCTTGATGCTGGGGATTCAGACATGAAAAAGACAGCCACAGGCTGCTCATCATCATGTATACATGTGTGGAGGGGAGTGTGACAAATCCTCAATAAATACATGCAAAAACCCCCACAAATCCACTACCACCAAGTCAAGTCCAACTTGTAGTGACCCTGTACAGCACATATGAGACTGTAAATCATTATGGGAGCAGACAGTTATGGATTTGAACTGCCAACCTGTGGCTAGCAGCCCGATGTCTAACCCACAGGGTCACATTATCTGCTTCCTCTGCCAAGATCATTTCTCTCCGGGATCTTCACCAGGCTCCTCCTTCCCTTCACCCCATCCTAATTCATGTAGTTCTCCCTCCAGTGTGTCAACTTCTCAAAGAGCCGATTACCTGTCTAAAACAGCCTCTCCTGATTCCATTACTTTCTATGCCTTCATTGACTTTATTTTTCACCACAGTACTTCTCCCCATTACATATGCACAGGGCAGTTGTTATGCACAAGGTCGGCAGTTCAAACCCACAAGTTGCTTTCCAGGAAAAAATGAAGCTTTCCACTCCCGTAAAGATTTACAGCCTCGGAAACCCAATACGATTCCTAGGAGTCAGAACTGACTTGAGGGCACCTTATACCAACAGTATGCACAGAAGCTCCTGCCACTGCTCCTTAAGACTTTATGTTCACTGCTGTATCCTCATCATCTAGAATAGTGCCTGGTGCATGCACAGTAAGCACTCAAATATCTGTGGCATGATACTTTGATTTAACCTATAAAGCAATCTATAAAATATCAGTGAAAGAAATAGCCTGGTATCCTTTATAATTTGGTAAACTAGAAACAAGAGCTTCTAAGCTTTCTATGACTGGTTCAAATGCAATCATTCACATTTCACCCCTAATAATGAAGTAAGATAATACAGCAACACTTACAAATAGTTCTGCTAGTGTTTTTGTCCAAAGCTGAAGTTTTCACTTCTTCAAATTCTAAATTCAAAAGGAAATAAAAGATGTTTTAGAAATTCTAGTTTCTTTTCAGTGAAAATCCTTAAAGCATACTCTAAGCACATGTTCTCTAATAGGCTTGTATTCATTTGAAACACTGCCTGAAATAAGTAATATTACAATCACAAATCAATAGTCCATATCATCACTGACCACAGGGTATTACTTGTAGTTGCTCGATGTGAAAGAATTTTGGTGGTCCAAGTAGTCTGAGAAAAGACAGACTACATTGTCTGTTTGGAGGTTCACAGTACACATTAGCTGAATATAAATGCTCTAAGGGGTTCTAGAGTAACAAAACTTGTCGAATCCAGCAATCTCCATGCTCATACGATACAGGAACCTTTTCTTGTCAGTAATACATATTAGCATTCCAGTACAGATAGATCTTTGGTTGCAGACAGTGTGCCTATCTCTAAACACATTCCTTCTAGTTTAGCTTTTTTTGTTTTAATGCAGTAGGCTTGAAAGCCAGATTAATAAAGACATTAAGATCATAATTAAGTAAATCATGACTATGTACTAGATGACCAGGTTGTCCAAAAATATGACCGCCAAAAAATAAACATGGTGGTATGCTATTAAATTTAAGTTTAAAACAAAATAGAAGATGGTACCAATATAGAATTTTGCATGTAATGTTTTCCTACAGATTAAAGAAAACAGAGAAGTTCTGAATATTAGCATGGAGGAATCCATAGCCCACACCATGTTTGGCCATCACTCTGTCTCTAAGCCTTAACAGACAAAGTCCCATGCTATAGTCACTGCCCACGTCTCTAAGGATCAGGAACTGGGTTACTACATGCACTGACTGGCTGTATAAGCTGGCAGCCTCTCTAGGGCTCGGTATCCTCCTATCAGCTAGATAAAGACCTGGTTAGACTAGAAATCTCTAAAGTTCCCTTGGGTTTTAAAATTACAAAAAACATACTAGAACTCGAAAACATACCAAAGCACCAAACCGGGTTGCTGCTACTGGTCTGATAAATTAATTCCAACTCACAGCAACCCCTTATGACAGAAGAGTTTCATAACATTCAGCAATAATTTCCACTAGGAAATCTGTCGAGAGGCAGTTAAACAAAAAGGCTAAGAGCATGGGTTTGCACCCCAGATGCCCCTCTTAGCCGTCTGACCTTAGCAGGTTAGTCAGAATCTCTAAGCCTCAACTTCCTCATCTGAAAATGAAGATAGATAATGAGCAACCTTAATTCTTATGGTTGAATTCTTTTATCTATAACCCAACGTGCTGGAACTCATTCATACCCACTGTAATTTCCTAAATAACACAAAATGCAAAACCAAAAACTACTACTATTTTTTTAAGTGCACACATACGGTATTTCAACCATTAGGGTTGCTTCAGTAAATCTTTAAAGAAAACAACAACTCTGAAACAAGTAATACGCCCAATTTACAGATGGAAAATGTGAGAGGTTAAGTAACTTGTCCCAACATCCTGCAATGATCAGCGCTAGTGATTCCAACCCAAGTCTGTCTAGCCTCCTGACTCCTGCATGAACAATATCATCATAAAAGATATGCTGCTAATACTCAGGGTCCTCGCTCCAATTTCCCTGTGTTTACATCCTCTTCAGTCATTGCTACTGTACTTCAAAATCCTGATGGAAAACATCCTAACCGTCCTGATTAACCAGATGTTAAGAAAGCAAAACATGGGTGAGATTCACGGCTACAAGCTATCTAGAGATTATCTAGGAATTCCATCTGTTAGTGTTTTTTCCTTTTTCCTTGGAATCCACAATCAAGATTTGGTATAATTAAATCTGTAAAAGACCCCCCCCGCCC